TTTATTACAGCGTTAGGGGTATTCCGCGAATATTGCCAAATAGTATATAGAGTTGAGGGTATACATTGTTTTAACAAAGGTTTGCCTTTTTCATTAGGTCTGGCTAAACTCATATTGCACTATTAGTATTATATATTATTGCATTAGGTGTTCCCAAATCTTTCGATTTATTTTCGAATCGAGTGTTTACTTAAATATTTTATATATTGTTAATTTATTTCAAGCATTCTCAAACACTTTTAATGAAGTCAACGAATCGCCCTTCGAGTAGCACTTTGCAAGGATAAAAAATTAGAGCAATATCAATGTATACCAGCTAAAAAATCATTTGGGGTATTTAAATTATTTAAATTCTGATAAAGGCAATAATTTGTTTTACAATTGTAGTTTACATATACACCAATAACTGAAATAAATATCAGTAGCCGTAAAAGAGGTAATATTAGGGGTATTCCTGATCATATTAATAATATTATAAATTAATGAAAGAATTGAAATGAATATAAATTAACGTACAAATAGTTAACATTAGGGGCGTTCCTAGTTATATCACTAATAATATAAATGGGTAATAAATATATATTAAATAACGTAACATTGAAGGTAATCTAGGTTAATTCGTAATAATAATGAAAATGATTAAAAAAAAAGCGGTAACATTAGGGGTATCCTGATTATCTCACTAATAATTTAAATAAATATTAAATAGACGTGAAATATGGTAACATTAGAGGTATTCCTGGTAAAATCACTAGTGATTGAAATTAATAAAAAACAATGTAAAATTAAGTAATATTAAGTGTATTCCTGGTGATATCAATCATAATTAAAATTATAATAAAGGTACGTAAAATGAGATTATATTAGGGTATTCCTGGTTATTTTTAATAATAATAAGACAAGTATTGATAGTTATATCACTTATATATGGGTATATGGGTATTCCTACTAATATCACTAATACTTTAAACCAATATGAAACAGACATTAAATTAGCTAACACAAGGGGCATTCACAGTTCTGGCCAATATATATTTGATGGCATTTTTGAACATCGTATTATTATATCGATAGCATTGACGCAGACAGTTGCGAGCTGGGGGAGCCATCATCAACTTCTCTGGCAACACAATTCGCTCACATTTGTAGCTTCATGTGTAATGAAGCAGCTGACGCAGCAAGTTGCAAAAAACTTTTCATTGTAAAGCATACACATGCACAAATCGAAATACGTGCGTGCGTGTGTGTGTGTGTGTGTGTGTGTGTGTGTGTGTGTGTGTGTGTGTGTGTTTGTGTGTGTATTGCACGTACTTCTGTCTGAGTGTGTCTGCTGCTGTTACTGCTGCTGCTGTTGCTGCTGCACAGGTGTCGTCGCCAGTAATCTCTTTCAGGCAGCGTTGGCGGCGGGCGCCACTTGTGCATAATGACGCAGTCCGCACAGCCACATACAAAGCTGGACTGTGTGTGTGTGTGTGTGTGTGTGTGTGAACTGGACGCGTCCACGCGGCTGTCATTTGCACACACACACACACGTAGTGCGAACGTGAACTGGCAGCTTACAGCTAAAGCACATGCAGCTGTGCTGTGATTTCAACCAACGATTCCCAAGCCCAGGCCCAGGTCCAGGCCCAGGCCCAATCCCAAAACCCAGCCCACACCCACAGCAGCAACAACCCTTCACAGCTGTTGTTGTTGTTATTGCTGTTGTTATTACAGTTGGCGCGCCTTTTCGTTAACTCTGCCACAGCTCCTGCTTCTGCTGATGCTGCTGCTGCTGTTATATATGTGTGTGTGTGTGGCGTGTTTTTGTTAGCAAAAGGGATAAAAGTATAAAATGCTTTGGTGTCCAGCCACATGGCTGTGCTTCTGCTGCCGCTCCTGCTCTTGCTGCTTTTGGCCTTTTTTACACGAATTAAATGAATGTCGTTGAATTTTTTATGATTTGTGTTGCGCCTAATTGAAAATTATGCGCGAGATGTTGCTGCTGCTGCTGTTGCTTTTAATTTGTCATTGCTTTGGCAAACGGCTTGCCAAATAGTTGCCACGCCCCGCACACACCGCCCCGGAGCTGCTCGACCCGCCTCTTCCCCGACCGTTTAAATAATTACTTTTTCTTTTAGCAATTTCGCCAGCAGCCGTTGCCAGCGCCGGCAGCTGCCTGGCTGGCTGGCTGCCTGCTGCCTCCCCGCGCGCCGCCCTGCTCCAAGTTTTGTGGCAAAAGTTCTGCGGGCGACATTTTCCATTTTGCTGAAACTGAAGCTCAAGCTCAGGCGCTTTGAAGTGGCTTGGCCCCCAAGCATAGTGGCAGCGCGGCAGCGGCCGGTGGGGTGGGTCGTATGTGTGTGTGGGGGGCAACTCAAGTTGAAGCTTTAGCCGCCTGCTGGCGCCGACAGGCGACAGCTGCTTGAGAGACGACGTCGACGACGTCGACGACGACGACACGGCTGCTGCTGACATTTGATTCATTCGTCATAGCCTGGTCCTATGCCTTGCCAGCAGCTGCTGCCAGCCAGTCAGCCAGCCAAGCTATTAAGTGAGTCAGGGCCCGCCCATGCCTCCCGCATGCCGCCCACTCACCTGGCGCACACACAAAACACTTGTTGTTGCCGCCTGTCACGCATGTTTCGTTTTGTTAGTTTCGTGCTGCCCGCCGCCAACAGCCCCTGCCGCTGCCCAGCTACCCGAACAGTTGACAAGTGTTATAGACGCCATATGCTGGCTGAATCTGTCATTAGTTGGCCCCAACCCACCACAGCCCCCCTTCGCAACCAGCCCCCTTTTTTTGTCGGCACTTTGGCAAGCGGCAGCTGCGTGTCAAGTGTTTGTTTTTAATAGAATTTCATTTGCAGCATTTTTAGTAATTTGCCTGATGCGAAACAGCTGTCCGCCAGACTGCGCTCTCTTTCCCTCTCTCTCGCTCTCTCTCTCTCTCTTCCTCTCTCTGTCTGAGAGATCTCTCTTGCCCCCACCTAGTGTAAATATTGCCAAGTGCGACGATTGACTTTAAGCATTGCGCCAAAAAAATATATAAGAAAAAAAACTGTTTTTACACCTCAGCCAGGCAGACGAGCAGCTGAATTGGCGCTTGCGGGAATTGGGGCGAGCCCTGGCGGGGGTGGTCGGAGATTGATCGAAAACATGAATGAAAATGAGCAGATTTTTTTCCTTTATGTTTTTGTTGTTGTTGTTTCTCGTTCTTTTACGCTTTTGTTTATGCAGCCGCACAAGCTGCACAAGCTCCCACAGCTCGTCCAGGTATTTACATATTTTAGTGATAAAAATCAACAAATTTTCCCATGCTCCGACCGGACTGACATGGGCGTACCCGGGCGACCGGACATGAACATGAACAAGTGCGTGCCAAAGGGTTGAATGTGTGTGTGAGTGTCTGCTGGGGGGAGTGGCAGTGGGATGGGCGAGTGGTTGCTCAAATGGGCGGTAAGTGCCGGTTGAATGTTTGTGCAGCCTGCCTTGTTGAAAGCCGGGCAATTGTTTTTAAATGTGTGTATGTGTGTGTCTGAGGGAGTGTGTGTGTGTGTGGGGGGGGGGGGGGGGGGGGGAATGCATTGCATGACCGGGCAGTCATCAATTGGCGCAATTAAAGTGCTTCACGAGGTGTCTCTGATGGAGCGGTGGAAATACCTATCAAGTATGTTCATAGTTTTTATATAAGTTGTGGAATTCGAAAAAGCTGCTTCGATTTTTCCATCGCATTTCATGGATAGTTCACTTGTATTTGCATTTCTCTAATTTGCCTATTAATCATATGAATTCAGTTTTATACTTTTAAATGAAAGCATCTGATTTTCTGAAATATTTTACCATTGTGTTTATATCTGTAGTCTATCAAATCATGCTTAACTTAATTGATTTAATATTAAAATTAGCTAAAATACGCACAAACATAACAAATTTAAATACATTAGCTCTACAAATGTTAAAGATATAGATTTAGGAGAGCAAAAGTCGGCGTGACCAAAAATTGTCGTCTTGAGATGTCTTGAGAGACTTTTATTTCTTGCCCTTCTACTCTTAAATAAATAAGTAATAATGGTATATTACAAAAATGATTTTAATTTACAGAGTTTGGAAGAATTCTTGATTTGATGTCAGTTTTTTTATTATTTATATTTTAAAGTTAAGATAAAGAAACTGAATCAACGGAATCAGTTATTTGTGTTGTACATTAAAAATTGAGGCGCACATACATATTTAAACATAATTTATATAATGTCCATCATGTTAGATGGAACCTTATTAACTAACATGATCGCTGAGTTCAGACTAGTTGCATAAAATATTGACTAAGTAGTCAAAAAGCAATAAGTAAGCCAATTTCCGTGAAATCGATTTTTCGCCCAGACTTTGAAAGGCCTAAACAAATATATGATAAATCAACAATACACGGACTAACGCTTGTTTAAGTATGAATAAAAAAGGACACCAAAATCTAGTTCACTTGTTTAAATACATATGAATGGATTATTTTTATAGCTACACATAGTTGCCATTCGTAATTAATTCCGACAACATTACCAATTCCAATTGTTAGCTGCAAACTGGTGATTGGGGTCTGCCAAATAATTTTGCATGCACTGCTGGTAAGGCCCCAAGCGTGGCTACAGCTGCCCCTAATGAGGCTCGGTCCCAGGCCCCACACACACACACACACAATTCTCCAGCGTGTGGCGGTGGGCAAGAAGGTCCTTGGGTTCGGTGCGCCCAATTTGCATGTCAGAGAACAATTTAATCAAATTGAAATCAAATAATTTGAAATCATAATGTGAGAACTTTGTCACTTGATGTTTTCGTTGACGCATGGGAACCTGTACAGGTTTGCGCTTGTTTATAATTACAAATTGTGTGGGGGGCTTTCAATTGTTGTCATTGTTGTTGCCCCCAACAACAACAGCAACAGCAACAACAACAACAGCAACAACAATGACAACAACGTAGAACAGACTGTTTAAATTTCTTAACTAATTTGCGACTATTTCCAGATGGCGCTCGATGGCAAAGCGATAATTAAGGAGGAGATTACCGACAAGGACGCATATGACGCAGCCGCGGCGGCGGCAGCAGCAGCGGCAGCGGTCGCAGTGGCCACATCAACAGCTGCCGCATCCGCGTCATCGACAGCGGGCTCATCAGCAGCAGCTGCGGCAGCCAACACAGCAGCAACTGCGGCTGCAATTAGTCGACGGCTTAAAGGTAAGTAGCATGTGGAAAACACATGGGCTGGGTGCGAATCCAGGGGGAGGAATATGTGATTGTGAATGTGAATGTGCCTGTGGAATCGGCTGCGTAGACATTAAGGCGTTTAATTGGGACTTGCGAACTGGGTTTGGGAGCACAAGTGCAGCCAAGCGACAGGCACAACGATTGATGGTGTGAATGGCAGCAGCTGCGAGTGTGCGTTTGTGAGAGTGTGGGGTTATTTAGCTGTTTATGTTGTGGCACGGCACAAACAATTAGCAACAACGACGTAGGGCACGAGTTGCAGGCCAGTTAAGTGAACAAGATTTTTGTGATACGCGATTTTTATGAGTAAATGTTTCCTTGGGGAATTTACACATATAACTTCATGCTCTTGCACAATTTATTTTGATGGTTATACATTTATTATACCCTGCTAAACCTTATACACATCTATCTGTAAACTTTTTAATTTTTAAATTATTTATTTGGCTTGCCTGTAGTTATTTATTCATATATACATATTACGGTATATTCAAATATATCAATCCAATTTCACAAAGCTACTGTCCTACATTCCCTGTTGACTGATTATATAAATATGTGAGCCCTACTCAGTCAAGATTGTTTTAAGATTTCAATATGCTTACAAGTTGTTGAAAAATCTATTAAATACATTTGATTCCAATTACAATTTACTATAAATTTTATAAAAATAAATCCAAGCATACTTCTTGAATTCCCTTATATAAATATAAATTAATAAATTTAAAAAAAACTGTTATATATAAAATTAATTATTTCGAAAAAGCATTTCCATGAAAATTTCACGAATCTGGAATTCAGAACAAAGTAAATTATTTACCTTGAATTATTTGCTATGAATATTCATGAAACTCTTCTGCATCTGTGCAGCAGCTCAATAAGCTGCATATGTAAAATAATATTGTCATTAAATAGTAAATAGTTGTTGAGCAAAAATGAAATGCATACAATCAATGTTTTTAAGATGCACTACAATTTGCACCCAATAATATCAGCTGGATAAAACTGGCACTTACTTTATGCAGGCAAAATGGAATTAGTTGCGGAATGTTACTCACAGATTTTTTGAGCGCTTGGCAGCTGCCTTCAAGTGCAACAACTCATTTTGTCGGCTTCAACCACTCGCTGGGACCGCAGCTCACAGTAAAATTTTGAGTGTGCGCGCACAGGATGGCCACAAGGTTTTGCCATTTTCCACTTTTTGTTCCCTTTTGGACGTTAGCCCAAAAAAATAACAGCCGCTGTTGGCGTTCCCAGTAGCACAAGCGACAGAAGCAGCAACAACAGCAACAAGAGCCCGCATCTGGGAAAAAAGCGTAGCCCGCTTTTAGGGGCTGCTCTATTGTATGCTTTGCTTTGATTGCCGCTGCCGCTGCTGTTGCTGCCGCTATTGTTGGCATTTTAGTTGTTGTGGTTGTGCGTACCTGTGTCACTTGCTGCGCCAATTCCCAGGCCAATGATGTGTGCGTGTGTGCATTTAAGGCGCTTAAATTCTATGGAAGCCTGCTCTCTAATTAGCATTCAAAACTGAAGCTCTTAAAAAAAAAGGTTTTGTTTAACAAATGTTTGCTGTGTGTTGCAGAGACGCCCACAACGGCAACAACAGCAGCAGCAGCAACAGCAACTTCATTATGCCGCCTGCTGATGATGATAATCACAAACAGCGCATGATGAATATTTGCCAAAATGATTGTTTTCCCAAATGACTATGCCAGCAACAACAGCAACAACAACAACAGCAACACAAACTAAACTTGCCAACGTTTCGTTTTGTGCGCTCGACTGCAATCTATGGGACGCAGCTGTGCAAATTCTGTTGCCCGCACACACACACACACATCGGCATACAAACACACACACAGACATAGACTGCCACTGGCCCATGCTGCGTATACGTAACCTTAAATCGATGGCTGCTGCTGCTGCTGCTGTTGAAGCTCACTTATGATGCTGATGTTGCGCCAGCCGTTGAGGCTCCCACAATGCCGCATTGCCACGCCTCTAACAGCCGCTTCCCCCCATCAGGCAAGTCCCTGCCACGCACATACACAGAGAAAATTGCCAACATTATGTTTTAGAAAATATGTGAATTGTCAACACAAAATTTTCGTAAATAGTTTTTCGTGGCCAAAACATTTTTCGTGCACAGTCACAGCTGGTCAGCTGCCTGACCGACCGACCAACCGCCCGACCGCCCAGCCCTTGGGGCACAACTTTGGGTCAGTTGCGGTTTTGTGGCCCCAACAAACTTTTAAGCCTCAGCCAACTGCAATATTTTACAATTGTACACAGCCAGTTAGATAGAAGAGATACTCTCGGCTCAGTTGGACAGTTACATAGCTATAGCGTGGGCGACACTTGCTTCTTTCTGTTTTGCCTTTATTTATACTCTTTTATTTTTTGCTTTTTGCATAGCAGCCAATTACAGGGCCCGGCGGCGGCATCATGTGATCCATCATTGTCTATGTTTGGCGTTTGATAAGCCGCCGCCAACGCAGTTGAGTGATGCCTCCTACTCGCTGGCTCACTCTCTAGTGTAGGTGTGTGTATGTGTGTGCGAGGGGTGTGTGTGTGTGTGTGTGTGTGTGTGTGTATGTGCTTCTGTCCCTTCGATTGGCGTGCCTGAATGGCTGTGAAAACACAGCCAGTTGCAGCTGTATCCACAATCATTATCACAAAAGCAAACTGTGCAGCAGCCACAGCAGCAGCAGCATCGACTGGCGGCTGCGTCGTCATCGTCATCGTCAGCTATAGCAGCGGCAGCAACAGCAGCAGCAGCAGTGGCAACATTTGCACCCACACCCTCACACACATAAACAATTTCCATTAGCTTGCGCAAACAAAGTTTGTGTGTGTTTGGTCGCCAATGCGAAACAGGCGACAAAACATTTGCAAACTGAATTTCAATTTAAAAATTTACAAGTTAGCGCTAGAAAGAAAGAGATAGAGTGAGAACATAAACTAATAATGAAAGAGAGAGATAAAGATATAGATATAGATAGAGAAATGAAGAGAGATGGAGATAGGGATGCAAATAGGGATAGCAAACATTCATTCGTGCACAGAGAATAAAATTGTGTTCTTTAATCAAGTGAACGCAGCCTTGAAGTGATTCAAATATGAAATTAATTATGTTTGTGCAGGAAATAACTTGAATCAAGATTATCTTTTAATTGAGCTCATTTCAAGAGCGAATTAATAATTCCATTATACGATATTGGGCTTGAAATAAGATTAATTTGTTCGTGTTCTCTCAAATCAATCAATTTCTTCTATTTGTAGAATTTCCTACTGAAAGCAAACATGTACTCCATTTTATATGTTTATTTATATGCTCATCAAAGTATACTCCAAAAATAATAACTTTAATATATTTAATCATTTTTCGAATTATCTTGTTTACATCGTACTTTAAACAAATGCATATTTAATTAATTTGTTTAATACGTCAAAGAAGCTACTATTTATTTACAGAACGCAGAGTATTGTCGAGTAAACATCACTCATGTTTGTTTTTTTTTAGGAGTTTTTTAATAAAACTATAAATATTTGTTTTCAAAAAGTTTCAGGCGTCAAAATTTGCAAATAAAAGAAGACAGAGCTTGATTATATAATATTAAGTATACGGTGGTTGATTAATGACTTGTACTTTCTTGTTTAAGTAGATGTATCAATTTAAATAGTCACACTTTCGGTTCTAGTTAGCTAATGATAAAGTTGACTTTAATCAGGTCTAGATGCGGGCTTTCCTCCCTTCTGAGACTATGCGTGATCCATAATATTCGTTTAAATAATTGGAACTATCTTTTCAAATTTATCGCTATTATTATAAATTTGTTCGCATAACTTAAATTTTGTGACCCTCTTACCTCTCTTCTGTGTTTTTATAATATATATCTTGACTAACTTATGCTCCATATAAGCATAATATTCGATGTCGTAGTTAATATATTGTTTAAACATCCTTATTCACAACAATCAAAGTTGACTAGAAAGTCAAAAATATTTTTGAATCAATTCTCTAGCTCGCAAAAACACATCCTTTTAAATTTGTCGCCTGCCAGTGACTGCTAACGCACTCCAGCCGAAACCCTGCTCATCCCCCACACAGGCCCTCGTCAGCATCAAGTCGAGGCTCGTCCATCTGCGCGCTGCGGCTTTGGCATTAAGCTTTTCATTTTTGAGCTACAGTCGAGTGCGGCGCTTTGGCAGCCGGATCAGGGCTAGGGCATGTTGCACCCAGTCGGCCAGCATGCCACCCATGCGCTCATGCCCCAAGGCTCCATGCCCCATGCCCCATGCCCTATAATATACCCTTACCCTGGGCCAGCAATTAGTGCGTGGTGCTTGATTTGCTTGCTTGGCTGGGCTTTGGGTGCTTGTTGCCTGGCAAATGGCAACCAAAAATGTTTGCTAATTTATTTCCCATGTTCAAACAAATTTGTTAATGCTGTTGCAGCGCCCCCTGGCGTTGGGAGCAGACAAGTGCTGTAGCTTGTTTGTGGTCAACAGAAATATATACATAGTTGTGGCATGGCCGATGTTGCAGCTTCCGAGCTGCAGCGTCGTCTACAACAGCTCCTAATGCATTTGTAATGCGCTTCGCCTGCACATCCTGTGTGTCTATACGTGTGTGTGTGTGTGGGTGTGTGTGTGCATGTGGGTGTGCGTACTTGTGCCTTGTTTCTCTTCGTTGTTTATTGTGAACTAACTAACGAGCTGGCTGCTTCCTTCTTCCTTTTAACCAACAGCCAACAGCAGCAGCAGCAGCAGCAACAGCAGCAGCAGCAACGGCGACAAGACCTCCACCACCTCCTCCTCGGCCGGCAGCAGCAGCAGCAGCAAAGACATGTCCATCTCCGCCAGCAACACAGTCAGCAGCCAGCACACGCCCAATGGCAGTCGGGAGCGTGAGCGGGAGCGGGAGCGTGAAAGGGAACGTGAGCGTGAACGTGAACGGGAACGCGAACGGGATCGTCTTTGCCGCACGCCGCCGGACTCACCGCCCGAGCTGGCACGCAATCTGACAGCTGCACCACGCTCACCGCACTCACCGCCACAGCAGCTGCATCATCACCAACGACCACAGCGCAATGCGAGCACCTCGCCCGTGGTCAATGGCGGCGGCGCCAGTTCAGCCACATCGCCAACGCCCGGCTCACAGCATGCCGCCTCCCTGGCCGCAGCTGCGGCAGCTGCAGCCGCTGCCGCTGCGCATGTGGAGCAAGCACGTCTGCTATCCAAGCTGCGAAAGTTCCTCGGCGCTCTGGTGCAGTTCTCACAGGAACTCGGCCAGCCGGAGGTGAGCGAACGCGTGCGTGCATTGATCCTGTCGCTGTGCAGCAGCACCATATCCCTCGAGGAGTTCCGGCTGGCTTTGCAGGAGGCCATAAACCTGCCTCTGCGTCCGTATGTAATGCCCCTGCTCAAGAACAGTGTTGCGCTGATGCAGCGCGAGATTTTGGCACTGGCACGCGCCACCAACCAATCGGCACTGCAGTACGTGACCAGCAATGAGCAGGCCGTGATGGAGCTTACGCCACATGGCGTGGCCAGTGCTGAATTCGCGGACATATTCGTACAGCTGGAGGCGCCACAGCCGGCGGCGTCCAATGGCAATGGGGTTGCGCTGTTCAAGCGCCGCTCCTCGGACTCCATGATGGAGCATGGCGCACACAATGGTCTGCAGGAGTGGGGCGAGTACATGCCAAATGCCGGCCAGCCATATGCGCCGCCCAGCAAACGCCTGGCAATGCATCCGGCGCCCACGCACTCGGTGCTCGCTTTCGACTACAGCGCCGCGGCCGCCGCCGGCGAGGTTGCTGGCGTTGCCGCAGGTTTTATGCAGCGCGACGAGCGCGATTTGCGCCTGGGCGAGTCGGGCCAGGCTGCCGGCAGGCACTCACTGCCTCAGGTGGCACGCGGTGGCAATGCCCCGGCTGCTGGGGCAGCAGGTGCACCCGGCGGCGAGGAGGAGTGGAAGAACATACACACCATGCTTAACTGCATCTCGGCCATGGTGGACAAGACCAAACGAGCCATCACCATACTGCAACAGCGTGGCATTGAGCCGCAGCACGGCAACAACAGCAGCCAGGAGCTGACGCCCGCCGCCATGGCCGAACTGCGCCGCCAGACCGAGGAGAAGGTGGCCGAGTTCAAGCGAAATGCCGAGGATGCTGTCACCCAGGTGGGTTATCCACACGCAAATTTATTTCGCGTGCTTTACCACCCTTAACTTTCGTTTTGTCGCAGGTCAAGCGGCAGGCTGTCATCGAAATCCAACGCGCGGTGGTGGCCGCTGAGACGCGTGCCGCGGAGATCATGACCCAGGAGCGACTGCGCATGGAAAAGTTCTTCATGGAGATGAGCCGTCATTCCAGTGGTGAGCGCGATCTGGACAACAAATCGCCATCCATAACCAGCGCACAGAATGTAAGTACATTATGCATTTTATGACCCTTAAATCGAAACTTAACAATTCAAAACTAGAGGTACTTCTCGGTAGATAGGATGCGATTGCTAAGGGATTTAAGAAATTAGTTTGATTGTTAATTTCAACACATTTTTTCAATTACTTGTCTAATCTTTACATTTTCGAATCTACTTAAGGGCAACAATTTGCAGCAACAATGCTGGAACTGCGGTCGCAAGGCCACTGAAACCTGCTCCGGCTGCAACATGGCACGATATTGCAGTGCCTCGTGTCAGTACAGGGACTGGGATAGCCATCATCAGGTGGGTGTAGGCCAGCACTTTGCAGCAGCCGCGACTTGCCACTAATACGGCGGCCAATTTTTGTTGTTACATTCGCAGGTTTGCGGCAACTCAAGGGCTACCGAGCTGAGCGCCAAGCATTTGCATTCGGCCAGCGCCAGCGGCCTGCGCAGCGCCATGGCCACCCGATCACCACCCACGCCCACAACAGCAGCAGCAGCGGCAGCAGCAGCGGCGGCAGCTGCGGCCTCGGCACATCTGCAGGCGGCTGCCGTTGCTGGCGTGCGGGAAGCGGCTGCGGCTGCGGCAGGCGGAACTGGAGGCGCTGGGGGCGTTGGCGTCGCTGGCGGCGGCGCCGCTGTCGCCGCTGGCACGCCCAGTGCGCTGGTGCCCAACGGACTGGGCTCCAAATGACGCATTCGCATGATGAAACCCAAGAAGAAATACTTGTGCTAGTCAAATTAATGAAAAGCGTTCCGGCTCGAATACGAATACTAAAAACCCACATATAATTATGGAGTTCAACTAAAGTAAACCTTAACCAAAAACAAAATGAAGTGAAATTGTCAGCATTATCCAAATAGTTTTCTAAATGCACACATAAAATATACTTCAAGTAAACGAGTTAGAAATGTAATTTGAAACTTAACTTTTTGCATTTCATTCAAAATCAAAAATTAAAAAAAAAAATGACAAAAAATTAATAAATATAAAGCCGTTTAATGAGTTATGCGCGTGAGAAGTTGATTTTATAGATTTTCCTTTCTAGTGCTTAAGCCTTTTCATTAAATGTTTAAGGTCAAGAAAGGTTCCAATAAACTTTTCCACGCTCCAAACTCATTAATTTATTAATTTTTTAAACTTGTGTGAGCACTTAAAATAAAAAAAAATAAATAAACAATACATATAAATATTTGCACCACATTAAAGTTTATCGAATTAAACGTAAAAACTACAATAAAGGAAACTCTTAATAAATATAAATTGAAAAAAAAAAAAGAAAAGAAAAGCTGTAAGTAGTACTTAGGTCCCAATCCAAAAAGCAGAGAAAGCGAATACTTAAACTGAACATAGTAGTTTTTATTATTATACATATGATATATTATAATTATTATTATTATTATATTATTATTGCTATCATTATGGCTAATTTATTGATTATATATATGTATGTATTTAATTTATTAATTAGTATTTATTGTATTTCTAAAAAAACAAAACAAAACAAAACATATTTAACTGTACTGCAAATGAAAACCAAAAGCATAAGTAAATGTTACAACCACAAAAAAAGGCTAAAAAGAAACCCAAGAAATAAAGTGTTTTAAACCAAAAAGTTCGAGTGCATTCGATGCGATTCAATACGATTCATTTCTCAAGCTGCGTGGCAGCCTAAAAGCAGGCAACGGAAAACTGCACCAGCTATCATTTGCGCATTAGTGTGTGTGGCCAGTGTGTGTGTGTGTGTGTGTGTGTGAGTGTGTGTGCTACAAAACCACAAACTACTGTGATGAAATTTCAATTATCGTCACTCAGCTGCGCCATGTGCAAGTGTGTGTGTGTGCGAGCGTGTGTGTGTATTGGGCACACCTGCTGCTGTCGCATTGCAAGCAAGCAAAAGCTCGTTAGTGCCTAGCCTCTCCTGGGGGCGTGCACAGCATTTGTTGCACACACACACACACACACATGCACATGGCTTGTGGCTGCCATACACACTCACACACAAACGCATACACATTTGTAGACACTTCAGGATCAGCTTGCCTTAACTTTACTTTTGTCTGCAACTGCTGTGCGCTTTTTTGCAACCCTTCACTGGACGACAAGCACACGAGGTTTCGGCTTGAGTTGGGCCAGCAGCACGGCCACAAAATGACGATGATGCCCCTGACGATGATGATGATGATGATGTTGATGATGGCATTTTCCTACCTGAGTGATTTTCTAAAGCCAGGCAACGGCCTCAGAACGACAGGCGGGCGCATATTCAAATAGCTGCACGTCCAGCCAACAGCAACTGGCAGCAGCTTCCTGGTGCCTGCTTCTGGCCAGCATATGCTGACATTTTGTTTGTTCCTGACTGTAAAATTCCCGCCCACCCCCCACCCCTCAATTTGTGCACACCCGTGCTTACTGCCCGTTCGTTAGCTTCTATTTAACATGCAGTTATCGTTTGTTATCGCCAGCAGCCACAGCTCAGCCAGCTGCAGACACGGACATGTTGTCAACGGCAACAACAGCAGCTCGCTTCAAAGAAAGGAGACGACATCCAAAGGATGCCTGACAGTTGTTTATCCTGTATTACTCGAATATGAATCTCTATACTGTAAGGTTTTCAATTTATCTTTAACTTACATGCGCATAACTTGGTCTTTTTGGAAATTTTAATTTTTTCTATTTTCTAAAATAATGTCCAGTACTTAGAAAATGCTATAAACTATTATTATTTTCTTGTTATTAATTTATTCACTATAACAATCGAAAAAGATTTGTTTACGAAGTGTACTCTAGATTGACACATTTTCACTGACGATGCAATGCTTCTAAGCATAAATAAAAATGTTAAGTTAACCTTACCTAAATATATATTATTTATTAATATTTTAATTAAAAGTATTTTATTATTTTTTCTGCCCGACATATTTGCAAACAGGGTATGTGCACGTTGTGCAAATTTGTTTAGTTGCCGACCTGAAGCTAGCTATAATATTTTTAATTGGGCTTAAAATCGGCATGTCTCGGCCCATCGCTTGTGAGTATACCCTATTGGAAATGTATTATTGACGATTAAGACAATAAGGGCCGCTTGGCGTCTGTTGCTTGGCCTTTGTATTGTCTTTGGCTTCAATTGGGTAAATTGCATTAACATTAAAAACGTGAAACTTGAACGAGAATTTTAATTAAAATCCTGGCAACTAGCGATGTCTGGCTAATGCGGGGTTTGCCTCGGCGCCTTGGTCTGTGTCTGGCATAAAAATATTCATCATAAGTGGCAGCCAGCAGCGGTGGCAGCGCCCACCAGCAGCAGCAACAACAGCCGCCAGCTGCTCACAGAGTCCCACTCCCAGTCCCAATCCCAGTCGCAGTCGCTGTCGACGTTGGCAGCGACGCGGACAGCAATTGTGCCATTTCAATCGACATCTGTTACTGATTTCAAAGAAACTTTTGTTGACAACACAAACAAATGCCAAACACGGCAGCAACTGTGCGAGAGAGAGAAAGAGAGAGAGAGAGAGAGAGGTGGAATAGAGAGTGAGATGGTGATGGAAGAGGGAGAGGAGGAGCAGTGTATGTTGTCGCCTGGGGGCCAATGGGGCAAGGTACAAACGTTTGACGCTTGCCTGCGCACGACTCCAGCCACAACGCCCAGTGCGGGACTCACGTGTGCCCGTGCCCGCTAACAGTCACCCCCTTGAGCCACAAAAGTGCCACACAGCTGACGTTCACGTTATCAGCAAGCAAAGCGCTTGCTCTCTCTCTCACTCTCTCCCACGTGTATATGCATGTGTGTGTGCCGTGTGCGTGTGTTTTTGTTTTTGCCGGCTACAAACAAAGTTGACTGAGGTTGCCTGCATTTGAAGGCTGTGCAGCAGCAGCAGTGAATAACATGTGCGTGCCCCGCGCGTGTGTATGGGTGTATGTGTGTGTTTTTGGCGGCGCCATTGTCGATAATAACGATTTGACGGGGCTGGGCTGGGCGGGCATGCGTAGGGGCAAGGTTCAAACATGGGCGCAGTTAGAGCGCAAGTTGCCGTTGCCATTGCTGTTGCCGCTTTTGTGCGCGTAACATGTGTCAATTACAGGCGCACACACACACACAGAGACACACATACACGCTCGCATCCAAACTAACTGCTCACACACACCGACACGTGTAAGGCTTCTCTCGCTCACCGTCTATAACTCAAAAAGCTGCCAAAAAGTGTGCGCACATTTTTTATACGCGCCGCCTGAAAGTATGCACATATATTTTTTATATGTTTGCCTGCCGGCATTTGACAGCTACGCCCCGACGACGTCGACGCCGACTGCGCAGCTGCCACTGTGACTGCTGGCGACCGGCTTTATGTTAATTTATTTTGGCATCGACATTTTTTTGTGCGGCAAATTGTTTTTTCTTTTGCCTTTGTATTTTGGCTATGGGGCAAATGTGTTTAATTAAAAATAGGAATATTTTGTTTTCTGAACTCGCGTTAGCATTGCGTTAATTTGCGCTAACAGCGTCAATAAATATGTTATTAAGAGCTCGAGATAAATAAATTAGTTTAAGGAATTATCTCGAGGGTTATCTAGCAATTTAATATATAACTCGTGCAACATGGTTTATCCTTGGGAGTGCTGTATGTTAAAAAATATCACCAATTAATTTTTCTTATCAGGGCTGTAACTTCTTTGGTAGTTTTGGCAAATTGTTTTGGCAAATTATGAATTCTAGATTTTTTACGTTCAACAATTTCATTCTAACCCTTTTCCGTTCATTAATTTTTTAATCTTTCTTGGAGCCAAACAACAAGAAATATTCAAAACTCTCAAAGTTCTTGACTGCCAATTGATGAGGTTTGTTCTGACCCTGTCAGGCCTCGATATATTTATTATTTTTATAATATTATTACATTATTTCATTTTTTTTAGAGGCCTGCAAAAAAACTAGAATTTAAATTATATTTGTTGTATATTATTATTTTATTATATTATATCATTGTCATGAACCAGAATAAATACTATACAAATATTGCGAGTATTTTTTAAAGGTATCTGACATAAAGTATGCAATAATTTTCTGGACTAAAATACTGCTATGCAAAAAAGTAATATATATAACCTTAGACTTATTTCAATTATAATTATATTATAATTTTTCGGATGGATGAATTTTGAAATTTCTTAATAATATTTTAAATTACTTAAATTTTTTTTATACAACAGCTATTTAAATAATGTTTGGAATTTTTAAATTATTATAGTGTTATAGTTATAGTTATTGTATTGTAGTATTATTTATAATATGAATGTATTGTAGTTAATCTTAATAATAATACAAAAAATTTAATTGAAATTTAAATTATTCATTTACCAGATGAAAACAAATCAGAAATATTCTCTTCTTTACTTTGAACCGAACCAGTTTTCTGTGCAGAGAGGATCTCTAAATATTTCAAATACTCTCTCGGCGGTGTGTTACGCTCCCGCTCGATGCGCAATATTCTCAGCCAGCTGGTTTTACTGGCTGGTAAATAAATAGAACCGGCAACGCGATGGGGCCGCTCAGAAATCACTCAGTTGTTGTTAGTTGTTGCTGTCGATTAGAACGTTTCGTTGTTTCGTTCGCTGTGCGTGTTGTTGTGTTTGTTGCTGTTGCTGTTGCTGAGACGAGTATTGCGCAAAAAGTATGTCAATTGATGTATCATGCGATAACAAGAAGAACTTGAAAAATTAGAGGCCTGAGCGCTGCATTTGCCAGGCCAGAGTTAAAAAGTGAATTGGCCGCTTGATTGACAGCCGTCGGGCTGAATATGTGCAGCAATGCCAACAAATCGATGCCAAAGTCAGTGTCAGGCCCACGTAATCGACAATCAGTTATTTACATACAAGCCACAAACGAGCCAAGTCAACCAAATCTCAGTTGTTAGCCAAGTTAGCCAAGTGAGCCAAGTGGCGGAGTGCGTGTGTAGAACCGTTTAATGTCTTGTGTGTTGCATACGAAATAAGTCAAGGTCCCGGGTTCCTAGCATAGATGCCAAGACACACACACACAGTTGCATTTACAAACATGTCCATTATAAAAAAAAAAAGAAAAAAAGAAAAACACATTCATATTTATATACGACGCGCATGTTAAGCGGCACAGCGCACTGTGGTATGAGAGTCTAAATAAATGAGTGACATTTTCAATGGATTCGACAGAGCATGGAAGATGATTATAAACTTTTGGAAACAAATTTCTGCACACTATCTGTTGATATCTATATTTATATATTGTTTTGTATATTGTGTAAATATTATTTAAATTTTAATATGTATTTTAGTTTTATTAGGCTATTTTAATATTTACAAGTTAGAAACATGTTTATTTTAATAATATCAGTAAGCTAGGCTATAAACTTATAAGTATGCGTATCTGTAGAATCAAGGCTCGTATGAACTAAATTCAATTCATATCTTATTCAATTTCATATCATATTCAATAAGTTCAGTTAAACTGATGACAAGATATGTTACCTTTTTTGTTTTCAAATATATAATAAATTGCAAAAACTCTTTAATTAGTTATTTAGGTAAGAAATAGTTTTATATTTAATTTTGTATTATATATGTATATATTAGTATTATATATTAGATTATTTATATAATTATATATTATTTTAATCCATAACAATCTTAATTATTTATGACACAGATTAGAAACTTTAAGTTTATAAACATATAACATTTTTCATTTAGAAAATTATATATATAGATTAAAAGCTACACACTCAAATGAATTTCGGACCCACTGTGCAGTATCTGCCACACATATATGGCATCTCCGCAGTAGCAATGAACTTTGTCAGGCGCCTGTTGCTTTTACCGTTGTCTCATTCTGTTGTTGTTCTTGTTATTATTGTTGTTGTCACTTGATAGCACTTAACCCTTGTGTATAACGAATTTGAATTAATGTTGACCTTGTTTATAATTCGCTGCTATATATACAAGTCCATTAATATTTAATCGATTTGCTGCATTATTCATTTACCAACTTAGTAAGAAAGCTTGTTTTAATATATGATTAAATATAATCTCTCTATTGTACGAACACCTACCTATACCCATTGCACCTTTGTTAAGTCATTGTTCAACGTTATCAAAAATCACATATGTATTCACAGCTGTTTTTTTCCTATTTTGTATAGTATTCTGTTTTGTTTTTGTTTGATAAGCACTTTAAGCGTAAGGCCAGACTGCGTCTGCGACTGCGGTATCAGCTGTTTGGCCCGGGGCTGGTTCAGAATATTATGAAGTTGGGCCTATCGCTAAGTGCTCTCGGCTAGATTAACGCCAATGCGCGTACTGTTTATTGCACGCAAAATTTTCCATAATACAACTAAAGTTAATTAGCCCCAATTGATTTGGAGTGTTACAAAAAGCCGAGCACCTATTAGCAATATTGTACTTGGTTTATAGATCACGATCTAGATTGTCAACGTGCCGACGGGCAATACACCTTAATAAAAGAATTGTATAAAATCTTTAATCTCTTCTTAAAAGTAATTTCATCAAAGCAAACACTCTTTGACCAATTGTTGCTAGTTTGATGGCAAATCGATGATACCTTCTGCAAGAGTATACAAAATCACGTTCATTGGAAATGGTTTGTCAATGAACAGTTGTTATTCAATTATGTTTGGTTTCTGAGTCTAGCAATTCACTAGAGATCAATTGAAAAATAAATATCACTTGCGTCATGCGAATATAAAAACTAGAATTCATGTGCAAATGAGAAAACTGTAATACCACACACATGCTCGGGGCTTGCGAGAGAGTCAATAGTTACCTAGTTGGTCGTGGTAGTTAATTAAAGAAACCATGTAATATAATATTATTAACGATCAGAATCGTGACTGGAAATAAAAAGGGTTCAACTAATGTCACACATTTATAATAATGCTCTACATTAATTGTTCTTGTTTAAAAAAACACGGACTAAACTAAGTAATGAAAAGTTATGGAACATTAATGTCTATATAGAAATTAATTCATGTTCCGCAAGAGAGTTTTAGATACTGCTTTCATAGAGAAATTAAACTATATTAAGATGTTATTCTAAAATAGAAAAGACTTAACAAATATTAAATGTTAAAGTTACACCAAAATCCAGTACAAATATATTCTCATTTAGTTATTGAATAAGTTAAACATTTCATATAATGAATTTGATATCGATGCAAGTGTGTTATTACACTTAAAAAAATTTAATATTATAAATTTACTGGGGCATTTATTTTCATCTAAGAACTTATTTATATTTATGCACTTATTATTATATATATTTAGTTTACTTGTATCTTAATTCCCTCATATGTGAGCTTCACTTTAGTCCATATAACATTTCACACCTAGACTACATACACTTTACAACAGGCTCAGTTTGATTAACTTAACACTGGCCCCGTCATTGTAAACCGCACCCAGAAATCTGTGGGCCTTTCTATGGCAGTGCCTAAACGATTTTAGTTACTCATAATGTTGATAGTACGCATGGGTTCCACATTTCTGTAATGCTTGGCGCTGAAAACAATATCAGGGCGGGCTGATAAGAAATTGGTTGGATACATGTGTGTGTGTATTTTACGGGGGGGTTACTCAGTCAGTGTCAGTCGGGCGTTGCAAGAGGGAGAACGTCTGTCAGAACGATATCGAGTTAGATTTCATAAAGCTGCCAGTTCGTATATTTATGTACACATATATAATAATGAAATATTTATTTAAAAGTGAGCGAGTGTAAGCCGCATCGAGATCTGAAGGAGGACGAGAAGGCAATGGAGATACTGCTGGAGCTCAATCTTAAACAGAAGCTGGCCACCCGGCTCGGCATCCTGCTGGTGGGCAGTATCATCTTTGGCCTCTTCTGCTACGATAGCGCCTTGGCCAGCCTAACACTTGGCGCCCTCTTGGCCCTCATGCTGCGTAATCCCACAAATGTCTTTGCGCTGGTTATGACCTGTCACAGGGATATCATGTGAGTAGTCAGCAAATATTTATAGAAAATTATTAAATGGAAAATCAAACTTATAGAATACTGCAAAATGATCGATTACCCATTTAGATAAGTCTCCATAGTCTAATTAAACTTAGTACAGCTATTTCGAGGCAGTCAGATAATGTGTGAAGTCGCTCGGATTAGATTAGAGTATCATATGCCATTGTGTAGCATATAAATATATATTTAGCTTACAATTCTATTGCTCGAATGTTGCTCAATGTTAACATGTGAATGAGGTGAATAAGCTGAGCGGATCATCATATTGTATAAACCAGAAGAACATATAAAATGAGTTCAGTGAGGAAAACCATTACGACCTTTTAGTTTTCATATCTAGGTAAGATGTAAACATTAGAAAAATATTGGTTTGTATCGGTAAACGACAAAAGATCTATTATTAAAAAGGATTATGTGGTAGGTGCAGATAGAATAAATACGTGGAGTAAAAATTTAAGTAATCCGCTGATATATTTATCTTCGTATTTTTCTATTTAGCTATTTTTACCCAGTTTTGGAATATTTTCTAGGACAGAACTAGATTCAGCTCCTTTCCCTAATTGTGTATAAACAGATAGATATAGTCAGAACATGTAAATGCCATATTGGGCCTTAATAAATATTCTTGGGACTTACCCAAATCGTAGATTTGATATTCTTAGTTTTGTCCAAATTGACGTTTATGATATTATCCATATCTGTTATTTGCACAGCTCCGTAAAAATACTATTTATGTAGTTTGATACTGAGCCCCCGTTGCTTAATGTAGAAGATTTTTTTAAGGTACGATTAGTTGACTTTTGAGGTAAACATTATGTAGAAGATACAAATGTTTTTGAGACAAACATTACGAATAATATGATCCTTCTCAGTGCTTTGTAGATGAGCTGTCTGTGTGTTCCCGTCATTTAGGCATTGTAAAAACAGGAATGCAGGTTCGATATATATGGAAGGGTTGTCTAGGCGAAGACCACAGTTGCAAGTGCTATTTCAAATATATGCAGATATGCAGATAAATACCTTCGTCTGATCCCGTTTAAGCCTCCTTATTTAGAGGTTTGGTATATTTTTCTAATGAGATTATTTTTCATTTATTTTGCAGCGCCCTTCATCGTTTTGTTGCCCTCAACTTGTATCTTCTGCGCAAGGATCGCAAAGGCTGCACCGTAGCGCATTGCTTTGAGGAGCAGGCGCGGCGGCAGCCGGAAAAGATCTGCTTCATAATGGACGAGCGTCGTCTGAGCTTTGCGCAGGCGCTGCGGCTCAGCCAGCAGGTGGCGGGCTACTTCCAGCAGCGCGGCCTGCAGCGCGGCGACTGCGTGGCGCTGCTGATGGAGACACGAGTGGAGTACACCTGCATCTGGCTGGGTCTGAGCCAGCTGGGCGTCATAACGGCGCTGATAAACTCCCATCTGCGCGGTGACTCGCTGCTGCACTGCATCCGTGTGGCCAAGGCCTGCGCCCTGATTGTGGGCAGCGAGCTGAGCGATGTGCTCCAGACGCTGCCGCCACTTGAGCTCTCCATCTATCAGTATACGGACGTGGATCAGCACGAGCTGCTGCCAGGTGCCATCGAGCTGACCAGCGCTCTGGCCGCACAGGCACCGCTGCCGCTGAGCCGCAACCCGCCGAGCAACGCCCGGGATAAGCTGCTGTATGTTTATACCTCCGGCACCACTGGCCTGCCCAAGGCGGCGGTCATCACAAATCTGAGGTTTCTGTTCATGTCCGCGGGCGCCTTCTATATGCTGCGACTGAATCGCGATGATGTGATTTATAATCCTCTGCCGCTCTACCACACGGCTGGAGGCATTGTGGGCGTGGGCAACGCCTTGCTTAATGGCTGCACAGTGGTGTTGCGCAAGAAGTTCTCCGCCTCGAATTTCTGGAGCGACTGCTGCCAGTACGACTGCACCGTGGCACAGTATATTGGTGAGCTGTGTCGCTATCTACTTGCCACGCCCTACAAACACGCCCCACAGCAGCCGCTGCATCAGCTGCGGCTGATGTACGGCAACGGGCTGAGGCCGCAGATCTGGACGCAGTTCGTCTCGCGCTTCGGCATACCGCACATTGGCGAAATCTATGGCGCCACCGAGGGTAATTCCAATCTGATCAACATCACGAATCGCATTGGCGCCATTGGCTTTGTGCCAGTCTTCGGTCGCAGCCTCTATCCCGTCCAGATACTGCGCTGCGACGAGCTCACGGGTGAGCCGCTGCGCAACGCAAAGGGCCACTGCATGCGCTGCGCTCCCGGCGAGGTGGGCCTTCTGGTGGGTAAGGTGGATGCGCGGCGTGCTGTCAGCGCTTTCCATGGATACGCGGACAAGGCGGCTTCCGAGCAGAAGCTGCTGCGCAATGTCTACACCAAGGGCGACTGCTACTTCAACTCGGGCGATATGGTCGTCTGTGATATCTTGGGCTATTTCTACTTTAAGGATCGCACCGGCGACACCTTCCGCTGGCGCGGCGAAAACGTTGCTACCCAAGAGGTGGAGGCCATCATCACCAACTGCATTGGACTCAGCGACTGCGTCGTCTACGGCGTGCAGGTAAGTCAAAATAAACTAAAACTAAAGAGAAATGTCACTTAAAAATAAACAGACTGATCAAAAGCATTTTGATGTGCCTGAGGAATGCAGAGCAAAGAAAAGTGTGCATCAGGTGACATTTTGGGAAATGCTTAGAACTTCGACACCCTTCCCTGTAAAATAGTAATTCGCATAAACGTATTTTTCATTACAATTACAACAAATTTACTTAAAAAACTCAACTAAGTGAATTTTAAATTTATTTAAATTTATCATCACTTACATAGTTACTTTTGCTGTGATATTTCAGCATGTATTTCAGCTATGCAGTTGAATCTTTTGTTGCTCATAATCCATATAAATCCATATAAACTTGCACATATACAGAGCTCAAATATGCTCAACTAACTTCTATTTACGAATCGTTTCCCGTTGCAGATACCTCACGTGGAGGGCAAGGCTGGCATGGCGGCCATTGTGGATCCCACACAAAAGGTGGACATGGATTATCTGTCCATTGTGATACGCGGCAGTTTGCCGCCATACGCGCGACCCCTGTTCATCCGGCTGCTGGACGAGATACCGCGCACGGCCACCTTTAAGCTAAAGAAACGCGAGCTGGCGCTGGAGGGCTATAATCTGGAGGTGGTAAAGGATCCCATATACTATCTGAATCGCGATGGGGTCTATCGACAGCTCAGCGGGGAGCAGTACGCGTCACTGCAGGCGGGCACTGCGGGTCTCTGAGAGAATCTGAAAGGAATGCCGGTTCGCTCACTTAGACTTAAGTTAGCTTGTATATATACACACACATATACACACACGCACACACTCCAAAAACACACACAGACGTACAGTTACTTCCAAATGTATTTTAACACTTAAAAGAAACGACTGATGAAACTTTAGCCAAAGCCGAGCGCGTTTCATTCCCATAACTTGCCCATAAAAATGGCAGCTGAACCGATAATGGCCGCCAATACATTTCCGCTGGCTGCTGCCACGCAGCATAAAGGGGTACGCAGCATAAAGGAGCAGCGCCCAGCAGCAGCAACAGCAGCAGCACACAAGACAGCGCCGGCCAAGATATATCGAAAGTGTTAAATCCCCAAGATTAAGTTCTCGCTCATTGGCAGCTGCTGTGGCCGTTTGGCTGTTGCTGCTGTTGCTGCTACAGTTGCAACATTAACGCCATTTCCGTTCGCTAGCGGCAGCTGCGACGCAGCAACAACAACAACAACAACAACAGCAGCAGCAGCAGCAGCAGCAGCGACAACAACGACAGCAAAGCCAACAACGTTTGCCGTCCTCTAAGATAAACGATGTGCAAAATCCATACAAACAACAACAAAGCAGCTGCAGTCGGAGTTGCTGTTGTTCTTGTTGTTGCAAGTTGGAGTTGCAACCGCAAGCAGCGCTACCAAAGTCGCTGCCACCAATATCGATGGCGAAAAAGTTGTGGCAGGCAATCATAAAAAACGAAGAAATACCAACAAAGCCGCTGCTTCCATGAAATTGGTTGCCAGTCGTGGGCCAAAATGGCTGCATACACAACGTGCTGACGAGGGGCATGCTCGTTGCAGAGTGTGCAGGGGCAGAGCTTAAGTTCAGAATTCTCATAAAAAGTATAGATGCACTATATCATAGCCTGGTGCTCCTATTGGAATCTTGTTCGCAGCTTGTTGCATTTAAAAAGCAAATATTTTCTTAGGAAATACATGTATTTATATTATCAGAAATAATATCGATGTCAGGTATCAGACTTATTACTCATATCTGAAGCTTAGAAGAGTTGGAACATCAAACACTTTAATTTGTATTAACCAAACTACTTTATTTGATTCAAGATCAAATGGAAATTAGCAATTAGCTAGTATCCTATATTTGCTGCGACTTTAGGTTGACCTCACTTACCATATTTTTTTTAATTTTATTAGAAACTCATTTCCAACTTTGTTGCTCTGTGTAAACTCTTCTCTTACCGCAGCTAACTCAGCACTCATGATGCTATCAATTACCCTATCAACAATCCGCGAATGTGCCACACACACACACAACGCCGAACTTCCTTGCAACAACAACAAACTTATTGCCACCAATGTGAGCATCAAAAATGCGCATAAAGTTGCATTGGCAGTCAGCGCGGGCGGGGGGTGGGCTGGAAGCAAACGGTGCAGCTGCCACTGCCACCAAACGCGACGGGTGCGAGTTTTGTCACCAACGTGGCACGGCGTTTGCACCAGCCCTTCCCCCATGGCGCATGCTTCATCAGCTGGTTGCATCGTCGCCGTCATAAACAAAATGGCAGTTGCTGCCGGGCAGCGCGCATGCATAGCTAATATCAATAAAAACAACAACAATAGCAGTAACAGCCGTTGCAGCTGATGTTGTTGTTGCAACATCGCGTGCCTCGCGCGTTTAAGAAGAAAAATTAAAAAATTTTCAATAATTTTTCGAAATGTTCGACGACTTTGCCGCCATCGCGTGCCTCCCCATCTTCCCCCACCCTCTCTATCCGTTTCTCCTTTAACCACGCTTTCTTGCCATTTCTTTCGCTCATTTTGGGCGCTCCGCGTTGGCGGATGGCGGATGGCGGCTGGCGGGTGGCGCCACAGCTGCCATTGGAATTTCAAAGCTATTAAAACGCTGCCAGGCGAGCAACGACCAAACGGGCTCCATGTTCCTGTTGCTATTTCGCGTTGAAATTTTACTTGTTGCCTCCCAACAAAGAAGGGCTACACTGACTATTTCATTGAGTTGGTAACACTTTCAAACGAAGGTTATATTTAAAATATAATTTATATTTATATATCCTTGGATCCTTGGAAAAGACTTTAAGCCCGAAACTTCACCCACCGAATCTATGACCCTCATTTATACCAAGGTCCATGATATGGATTTTGCGAAAACTGAAATTCGGTTCATACGAATTTTCTAAAGGATCTTTACCAATGAGCTTTGAATCTTGGCTCTTTTAATCTTCAAGCCGCATTTATCATCCAAGCGGCGTAGATTTTACGAAAAGTGTGAAACGCAAATCAGATGAATTTTCACAAGGATCTTTCAAAATCATGTTGAAGCCAATCGGATGGTGAACAAAAAATATTCAACGTTATTTCGCGACTTTTCAGTTTCCTTGCCCTTACGGCTTGGGCTGCGCATTAATCACCAATCAATCCTGACTGACCGACTGATTGACTGACTATATAAAGTCGAAAGGGTATGCAAACTTCAATTTATCGATGTTTTCTTTAATTTCCGTGCAGTTGTTGCTGCTTTTGACTGGTTGCTTGTATGCATTTGGGCTTAAAGGTTTTGCTTGCTTTTGTTTTTATGTGCCACACAGGCGCCGCTTTGCCCTTTGCCCTTTCACTGCCGCTGCCGCTGCTGCTGCTGCTGCTGCTGCTGTTGCTGGCGACTGTTCGGTTGCTTTGTCGGTTCGTGCTAATTACATTGCACCTGTACGTGACGTTTGATGTTGCCCTGTCCGAGCCTCGACTGCCGAATGCCGACTACTGCCTGTCGACTGTCGACTGTCGCCAGTGTTTGTTGTTGGTTTTTGCTTAGTTTGTGGGCGTGGCGGGGGATAAGGGGTGCTGAAGCTCTGCTTTGGATGCAGCTGCAGCAGCAGTCGCCCAGCAAAAATTAATTAAAAGCCAACGTGCGGCAATGCAATTAAATTCGATTTGGCTCAGGCATCGAAGTTGTGACGTCGACGTCGACGTCGACGGCGATGGCGATGGCGACGGCGACGGCGACGCTGACTGCGAGTCGAGCTCAGCTGGGCGGCTGTTGTTGACATCATTTAATACAACAATACAGCAAAATTATATTCCACACAAATACAAATACACATCAGAAAGTTCATACAATGCAACTGCCTCAGTGTGCTGCCCCAACGCCCTCTCGCCCTTTGCCAGCCTTTGTTTTGTTTGTTTTTGTGTTTTTATTGTAAGCTTTCGCATACGTTGGCAGCTGTTGGCTGATCTGCCTATTTGCTTTCGATGTATGTGTGCCACATGTGTGTGTATGTGTGTGTTTGAAATGGCTGACTGGCTGCTGCTGCTGTTGGCATGCCACTGCCGGTGTGTGTGTGTGTGTACGTGTGTGTAAGCACTCGCGCTGTTTGTTTGCTCCGCTTCGTTCGTTCGTTTTCGTTGGCCCGTTGATTCGTGGCACCTTTTGGATTTGACAGTTTTGTAATTAACTGCAGTCAGCATGTGCGGCATTGGCAGCGCCGGCGCCGGCGCCGGCAACAGCAGAGCCGCAAGCAGAGCCAACAACAGCAACGGCAGCAGCAAAATATGTTGCATACTTTCAGGCTGTACTATCGAAATTGCCAATAAGCAAACGGCTCGTTTGGCATTTTGGTGCGCAATTAGTTTTTTGTTTTAAACTTCAGTTGGCTCAATCGAAACAGGCAGCTACAGCTGATGTTTTTATATATTTCATACGAATTTAGAACAGGAATTGTTGGGCACATTGACTCTACGAAGGATCATAATTCGGGTATTGTTTTAATTAAGAAATTGTAGTTATGTCATTTAGGTAACAATAAATATCATAAAGTTAACATACAGCTGAGGCCAAGTTTTGTTGATTACACTAAAAACATGCGTTTATTATATTATTTGCTAGTAAAATATGGATATTAATGATTTTTTTTATTTGATTAAATATTATTTATTTTAATTAATAACACGTACCATAAATCTAGTAAGCCCAATATTTGATTTTTAATAAAAAAAAAAGCAACCGGTTAATATTAATATTAAAATTTGGTACTCTTATCTGTACCCCTGACTATGCGTCCTCTAAAAAGACTTAAAACTGTCGGTATCTGAACGTGGAGAAGATTGCGAAGGTCTCATCTAATCGATCTCTAAGATCGGTTTATATGCTAAATTCATTTTTTAAATTTTATTATGTTAGATTCAACTGTAGAATAAGTTATTTAAAATTTGTTCATACATGTTTCATTTAAGCTGTGCTTTTAATAACGGTTAAAGAAAAAATATAATAAATTTAAATAAAAAAGCTTCTTTCTTCTGTACCCCAAAATGTAGGCAATGGCAAAAGGTTTCATAGGTTTTTCATGCATTTTCCTCATTTGCAGGAAGAATTTTCAATAGAATGTGTATTTTTAGTACAGAAGGCCTGGACTGGAAAGTAAAAATGTTTCGCCAATGTAACCTATCGAATTCGCGCGTGATCGTTACAAAAACTTGTTCGTATTATAAATTACTATAGTTATATAATTTATTCAAGTTATGAAAAATTAAAGACTTAAGAAATTTTTTGAATTGGAATATTACAAGTATATAAAGTCAGATATTCAAAAGATACACAATCTTTGATTTAAAGAGATTGCAATTGAGAAACATTGTTTTCCAAATTTTGAATAAATTTAGTCAAACAATGCATATGTTTTCAAAATTCTGACATAGGCACGTTAGAGTCATAACAAATCTTTTGAACTCATCTACATATTAATTAAATATTTCATCTTTTGAACGGATCACGACTATCGATAATCGAAAAAAGTTCGATTTTTCCAAGATCCAGCCTTGCTGCTCACCTCTAACTCAAGATGAGGTATCTGTACAAATTTTGGACTGAGCCTTGGTCACTAGGCAATCAGTTAGAACGAACCCTTTTATATATAAGTAGTCAGTAAATGTATCTTGTATCTAAACTTTTACCAATAACTGACATAAGCAATATATTAATGCGACACTCCTTTTGTAGCTTACCATCAAAGTTAGCTCCCCATTGGAGTACCTGCCATCACTTGACAAAGTTTTGATCTCAGCTGCGGCGACTTACTTGGGCAGGCTGAGAGGCAGAGCAGGCGTTACAGTCACAGCTGTTTCACGAGTCGGGCACAGGGCAAAGGACA